CGGCAAGAGGAATCAAAACAGGAGAAAGACACAACACATTGCGCAGAAAACCCTGAAGAAGTATCACTGCACCCGCCTGAGGAATGTTCTGATTATGGGAGACCTATGACACAAATGGAGGAGTCTCCACTGCCCGTCACCCCCCCTGTCAACGCCTTTGAGGATACTCTTCATTCATCCCCCAGCTCTCTCTACTCTCCGCTCACCCTTTCACCCTCGCCCTCCCCCCTGGAGTTCGATGACCGCATGAAGGCGATATGCAGGGTTGGCAGCATGTCCTTTACCCCCGCCCCTCAACGACGCCCACCAAAATCACCGAAGACAAGCCTACGTCAACCACCTCCCCCCCCTGGCAGCATCTCCTTTACCCCCGCCCTTCCACAACGCCCACCAAAATCACAGAAGCAGAGACGCGCACCATCTCCCCCGTCTTCATCACCGTGCCTACGTCAACCACCTCCCCTCCCTTCAAGAAAGCATCTGCAGTCTCCGAAGCCTGATAAGGATGTGTGTGTACAAAACGCAACAAACTTTTACTGATATGTGCTGGGTCCAGGCTCAAGGGCATATGGCACTCTCAACTCTTTCCAGCACATGCCGGGGCCCTGCCTGCCAGTAGCTTTGCCGATATCTGTGTTGATAGGTAATAGATTAAGAGCGGTAAATCAGCTTAGAAACAGGAAGTGCTCAAACGTTTGTGTTTAGCAGTGATTCCATGTCAGCCACAGCTTGTCACAACATTTTTTACTGATAGTGTATTTAACAAACTTAAACTAGCTTTATTAAATGTCAGGTCTTTGGCAGGAAAAACATTTTTAATCAATGATTTTTTTCACTGAGCACAATCTCGATTTTATGTTTTTAACGGAAACTTGGATTGAACAAAATAACAGTGCAGCTGTTCTTATCGAATCAACCCCTCCCAACTTTAGTTTTATGAGTCAGGAAAGAATGCATAAGAAAGGGGGTGGAGTTGCTATTTTGTTCAATGACTCCATTCAATGCAGGAAGACATCTTATGGGGACTTTGCTTCTTTTGAATATGTGGCCCTTCAGCTGAAATGCTCCTCTCGAGCTCTGTTCCTAAATATCTATAGACCACCCAAATACTGTGCAAGCTTTTTTGATGATTTTACTGAACTGCTGTCTATAGTGTGTATTGACTTTGACCGTTTAGTCATTGTTGGTGATTTTAACATCCATGTTGACAACCCCCAGGACAGAGGGGCTAAAGAACTGTTTTGTGTTCTTGATAACTATGGACTGACTCAGCATGTGGCGGAGCCCACGCACAATAAGGGGCACACTCTGGACTTAATTATCTCAAAGGGTCTGAATATCTCAAAGGTTGTGGTGACTGATGTTGCACTCTCTGATCATTCCTGTGTTTTCTTTGAGAGCTCTATTTCTGTTCACAAAAATGTTCAGAAAGAGGTAACCACAAAGCGATATTTAACAGAAAATACTAGGGAAATGTTTACTCATAATGTTTCATCCACACTTGCCCCTGCTAACATCTCAGTAAATGAGCTAGTAGATCATTTTAATTCAAAAATTAAAAATGTTATAGATACCATTGCTCCAACTAAGGTAAAGGAAGTGATTGGCAAGAAAATATCTCCATGGAGAAAGGCCATGACCGTGAGAACAGAAAAAAGAGAGTGTCGAAAAGCTGAACGTAGGTGGAGAAAAACAAATCTCCAGGTTCACTTTGAAATCTATAAAGAGAGACTTGGCCTTTATAATTTGGAATTGAAAAACGCACGACAGTCTTTCTTCTCTGACATCATTACCAAAAACAAAAACAACGCACGTGCCTTGTTTGCTACCGTCGACAGACTAACTAACCCCCCAGTGTCAGTAGCCTCTGAATTTCTATCCACCAGGGCGTGCAATGATTTTGCCTCCTTCTTCACTGACAAAATTCAGAAAATTAGACAAGCAGTCAGTGCCTCTACATCAGGTACAGCAAATGTTTTGTCCCTATGTCCACCTAATATCAATTCAAACACCATGACACAATTCCATCAGATTAATGATAAAAACTTAGAGGACATTATTCAACTTCTGAAATCCTCCTCCTGTTGCCTTGATATTATTCCAACAGGATTTTTCAAAGATGTTTTTCCTTGCATGGCCTCAGATCTACTTCATATAGTAAACACATCTCTTCACTCAGGTATTTTTCCAGAGGCCCTGAAAACTGCAGTCATTAAACCGCTCTTAAAAAAGAATAATTTAGATGCCTCAGTAATGAACAATTACAGGCCAATATCAAACCTGCCATTTCTAGGTAAAATCATTGAAAAAGTTGTATTTCAACAGTTGAGTAACTTCTTGCATTTAAATAACTGTTTGGATGTGTTCCAGTCAGGATTTCGTCCAAACCACAGCACTGAGACTGCTCTTGTAAAGGTCTTCAATGACATCCACTTAAACACAGACAGTGGCAGAACTTCAGTGTTAGTATTATTAGATCTCAGTGCTGCGTTTGATACTGTTGACCACAACATATTACTAGACCGACTAGAAAACTGGGTGGGACTTTCGGAAACAGTTCTAAATTGGTTTGAGTCCTACTTAAAGGACAGAAAAAACTTTGTTTCTATAGGTAAATACACATCTGAGTTGACAAATATGACATGTGGGGTACCTCAAGGCTCCATCTTGGGGCCTCTTCTCTTTAACATCTACATGCTACCACTGGCTCAGATAATGAAAAACAACAAAATAAGTTACCATAGCTATGCGGATGACACACAAATTTACGTAACAATTTCACCAGGAGATTATGCTCCAATTCAAACACTGAGTAAGTGCATTGAATAAATCAATGACTGGATGTGTCAGAACTTTCTCCAATTAAACAAAGATAAAACTGAGGTAATGGTTTTTGGAGCCAAGGCAGAACGTATAAAAGTTAGCGCTGAGCTTCAGTCTGCAATGTTCAAAACAACAGATAAAGCCAGAAATCTAGGTGTAGTCATGGACTCTGACCTGAGTTTCAACAGTCACATTAAAACAGTTACTAAATCAGCCTACTATCACCTAAAGAACATATCTAGGATTAAAGGACTAATGTCACAGCAGGATTTGGAAAAACTTGTCCATGCTTTTATCTTCAGTAGACTCGACTACTGCAATGGTGTCTTTACAGGTCTCACTAACACATCTTTTAGAAAGCTGCAGCTAATTCAGAACGCCGCTGCTTGAGTCCTCACTAACACTAAGAAAGTGGATCACATCAGTCCTGTTCTGAAGTCCTTACACTGGTTCCTCACTGACACTAAGAAAGTGGATCAGTCCAGTTCTGAAGTCTTTACACTGGCTTCCTCACTGACACTAAGAAAGTGGATCACATCACTCCTGTTCTGAAGTCCTTACACTGGCTTCCTGTGTGTCAAAGAATATATTTCAAAAATATTGTTGCTGGTTTATAAAGCTTTGAATGGTTTAGGCCCAAAATACATGTCTGACCTACTGCTAAATTATGAACCATCCAGAACTCTCAGGTCTTCAGAGACTGGTCAGCTTTCTGTCCCCAGAGTCAGAACTAAACATGGTAAAGCAGCATTCAGTTATTATGCTCCAAACATCTGGAACAAACTCCCAGAAACCTGCAGGTCCGCTGCAACTCTGACTACTTTTAAATCCAGGCTGAAGACTTTTCTTTTTGCCGCTGCTTTTAATTGAACTATTCACATCTTAAACTGCACTGTAACTTTTAACTTTTATCCATGTATTTTTTCTTTTAATGTTTATTTTATTATCTTTTCTTTTTAATGACTGATTTTAAATGCCATTTTTAAAATGTCTTCCATTTTTGTAAAGCACTTTGAATTACCTTGTGTTGAAAGGTGCTATATAAATAAACTTGCCTTGCCTTGCCTTGCCTTGCCTTGAGAGTGAAGCTATCTCTCGCTCTGACATCTAGAAACAGAAAAGCAGTCTTATTGCTTATGGATTATCAGAAATAATTTCAAAGGGACACAGACACATTGGATTAACCTATGGATTCACTTCAGCAGCGTTTTTATCGTTTTAATGCCATTGAAGACCACTTTTGAGCAGACTACAGAGACAAGTTTGTTAAGTGTTATTATGGGAGTATTACTATTCTTGTGTTACTACTGCCTTATTAGGCCCATATTGAGCAGAGCATATTAAGACCAAAACTCATGTACCACAACTTCCTTACTTGAAATAAATAAGCTCTAATTAGAGGGTTATTGAGGAAAAACTCTCAACTAATGGCTTATTACTTGTAGAATATGGTCATGTAGAATAAGGCATTAATAAGTGTTTTATAATGACTAATGAAGAGCCAATATACTGCTAATACGCATGTTAATTAACAACTAGTTGATGGTGAATTTGTGTACCTTAATATAAAGTGTTACCCAAATTACAAATGAATGGGGTTGAAAGTAAGGGTAAATCCAATTCATAGTATTTGAAAAGGACAGCATCATATTTTAGACAAAATACCTGCAAATCATGTGAAATGTATTGGGGCACCTCAAACTGACTCTATAATGCATGACTCCTGACTTTTCCGTGTGTTCTATTCTTATTTTGTTTTTTAAGTTATATCTGTTGTAATTTATTGTGTTTTGTAGTAATGTGTTTTTTATTACATGTACAGCACTTTGGCTCGACCAAAAATCGCTTTTAAATGTGCTTTATAAATAAAACCTGATTTGATTTGATTTGATTTGATAATCATAGATCATGACTTCCAGGCTTCTATTTATTTTGGCACAGCTACTGCCTTTGATTTCTTTGTAATGTTAAATGACTGATGTTTCAACAGGTATTACAGCCTGCAGAAGCTCTCAGTGGGAGTCGCTTTAGATTCATTAAAGCTGGAAGAAGATCCTTTACTTTAGTAAAAGTACAAATTCAATAAAGTACAAAAATACTACATGACAGGTCAATGTTGTGCATCCCGTAAGGATCAGAACCATTACTTTGCATGACATGAAAAAGAAAATACAAACCGCTGTGTGTGTTATTTATTCAGTGTAGTACAACGCTGCATTGATTTATACTCATAAGGTCACAGGTGATGTGAAAGCTAACAGCTGATTTGTACACAGGATGTATATTTGGGACACATTACATGTGAGAGAATACAATGGTGAAAATACTATCAACATATTGGGAACATAGTTGATATGAAGCTGCTCTGTGTCTGTTCACAGCGAGAAGCTTCATTCAGCTTTAACTTCAGCTTCACTCCTAACGTCCTGACTCATGGACCTTTCAGGGTTCTCCTAAAATCACTGAGGCTGATATGAAAAGTGAAAAGCAAGATAAGAAACAGAAAGAGAGAGCAGCATCAAGCTCAGCACATGTACAGCTGCACGTTTCATTTCCTTCCTCTGCACACAGTGAACTAGACACGTCATTAGAGTTAATACTGCTGAAGTCAGGGTCCTTTCATTCTCTTTCTCTGCAATCTCTTGATGACCTACACTTCTCCGTACAACAGACGCTTACATATGATGCGGATTTTAGACATCTTCAGCCCGTACAGGACTGGGGTAAAGAGAGGCTGGCATGTTAGAAAGTACAGGGATAATAAAACGCTCAGAATGTTGGGAACACTGCTCATATCAAACCTGCTCTGTAATATCTGGAAAAAAGCTCCAAAAAAGAAGTTAAGCAAGGAAGCGAGGTGAGGTGTGCAGGTACTGAGAGCTTTCTGTCTGGTCTGTTTGGAGCCAGAGAAACACACTCTGAGGATCCTCATGTACGTGTAGAGGATTAAAAGCAGAGGAATGATGATGGAGAAAACAGTGTAAAAGAGTCCATAAATGTTATTGACCCTGGTGTCAGAGCAGGCCAGCTTAACAATGGAGTAATTTCCACAGTACACTGTATTAAGTATGTTCCCACACAGCTGCAAAGACAGAGTCAGGAATATCATAACAACAATTCCAAGAAAAGGGAAAAACCATGACACTGCAATAAGAAAGGAAGCTTTGTTAGATGTCATATATGTGTTATATTGCAGAGGATAACAGATAGCAAGATATCTGTCATAAGACATGACGGTTAAAATATAAAACTGTACATTTCCATATGTATACACAGAGAAAATCTGCAGGAAGCAGAGCGGAGCAGAAACAGTGTGAATGTCAGAGAGGATCTGAACCAGAAGGAATGGAAACAACCCTGTACTACCATACAGTTCATTTACAAACAGGCTGCACAGAAAAAGGTACATAGGTTCATGTAAGCTCCTGTTCACACAGATAACCACAATCAGCAACATATTGGCACCTATAATACAAATATACAAAGCCAGAATGATCAGGAAATATAGGTATTTAAAAACCCCGGTGTCAGAGTATGCAGTCAGTATAAAATAGGAAGCTTCCGTAGAGTTCACCATGATCCTCCTGTTGTTAAAGATTTAGAACATTAAGTTAAAGATGAGCACAGATAAAGCATTATTCAACAACTATACATCCAACAACAGAAACCTGTGTCAAATGTGAAACAAATGTCAGACAACAGTTGTGTTTCACCTGCTACACCTGAGCTGGAGTCACGGCCAGAGCTCATGACAGGGACCTTACTATCTGACAATATGTGGAGGGGGGGGGGGGACACAGCGTGGGAGTGGTTTCACTGGACAGACCTCAAAGAACATCTGGTTTCTGATCATTACTGACTGACGTGAAAACCTCAAAGATGTTTTCGTTACATGTCACTTATCTCAGTAAAAATGTCCCAGGTAAAAGATTGTCTCAATCACTTCAGACAGCATCTCTGAACGAACCAAAACCCAGATGGTGTCAGCCAAGAACCACGAGGGTGACGCTCCAAAACCAAGGTGGCAATGTGCAAAGACGGAGAAAGTGACTGTCCAACCTTTGGATAGCCAAGGTGTAAAATGGGTTTGCTTCTTCCGCATTGATGCTGATAAACACTCCCTTGGGGGGAAAGTTCCAAGACCCATAGATCAGTGAAGGGTCCCTACATTGACTCGTTTTTCTATTGGGCACCATTGGAAAGAAAGCAAGGTTAAAGCACCTTCCATTGCAAAAATTGATATTTTCAAAGTTTGGGCTCTTTTAGGCATTTTTGCACAAATCCACCAGAAGGCCCCCTCTTTGAAGTGGTTCCACTGAACTCCCTCTACAGTGTAAGTACCTCAAAGAGCCCTATGGCTAATTTCTTGAGCAGAATGAAGCATCCTGAAGATACTTTCACTCCTTTCACTCCAGGGAAAGGGTGGGGGTCAGGCTGGGAATGACCCAGGAAAGGGCACTCTAAGTCGGATGTCAGGCCTGGCTCAATGACCCCCTTTCCTGGAAGGCTTGACTGAAGCTAAAGGCCCGGACACACCAAGCTGACACCAAAGAACTGACACAGACGGACCCCCGACTGTTGTGTCGCCTCGCATCTCTGCGTCTTGGCCATGTGTCGCACTGGAACACACCGCAAAGACTTCAGCCGCAATAACTCTCCTTACCAGCAGGCGGCGGTAGTGTGTATTCGTCATTCAAAAGAGGCAACAACCGGAAGACAGACTGCGTGATACACCAACAACCAAATGGCTGAATTACATGTGTCCACAAAGCTTTAACTGTTGTGTGTGCTGTCTGGTCATGTGTGGATATGGCCCAACAGAACTTAGTGAACAGGTCAGTTGCAACAAGGAGGTTTTGGTATGCGTCTGTGGGTCTACGGAGGGTCAAAAAATCTAAACCTATGACCTCCAGGGGGTAAGATACAGCAATAGGTTTTAGTGGGGCCTTTGGATCTACCCTTACCTTTTGCAGACTGCAGGTGACACAACCCTGATGGAACCGACGTACCTCCCCCTCCATGTTTGGCCAGTAAAAGTGCTGACGCATCCTGGGGAGGGTCTTGTCCACACCAGCATGGGCAGCAGCTTCGTGGAATTTCTCCCAGACTTCCTGGTACCTGGAGCTTGGACACACAATCTGGTAGTGTACTTCATGGGTGTGCTTGTCAATCATCTTACAACACAGTTTATTTTCCTTAAAAATAAAACCTATTTTTAGTGAATTACTGAGTTTAGGCACGTTAATAAAGTTTTAATGAAGTTGACTACAGTATATTCATATTTGTCAGTGCTTTCATGTCAATTCGGCGAACATAAACATAAATGATCGTGGTGAAGATGATTAAAATAGGATTAAAAATCGGTAGTGAGAGCCGTGCTGCATTTCCTCCCGTCGGATGTGATATAAAAACAAACCGATTATTTTTGTAGTTGTAAACTCACGTGGATTAAACCACATTTATTAGTGCTTTCATGTCAATTCGGCGAACATATGATACATTAAATGATCGTGAGGATGATGATTACAAATCGTTTGTTTGAGCCGGTCTGCATTTCCTGATGAAAAAACATAGCAATGGTTTTGTACTTACGCCAACGTGGATTAAACAACATTATTTTGTTAAATAAAAACATGGTGATGTTTTGTAAATTATTACATGTCTCTTATTTAGCACAGAATATGATCCTATCCGTGACATATGGATCTTAACAAATATCCGCTATATCAGATACCTCGACTGTAGATCTATCAAGGTGGCAGCTTTTTAATCACTGCTCCCCCTGGTGGATCCATTGCAGCTGGTTTCATTATAATTAAATGTATTTATCAAGGGGGCGTATCAAGTCATGCGGGGGGGTTTTCCTTTCAGCGAGGGCCCACCCCGTGCAGATCACGGACCCACATGGGTAGGGGCGTCCGAAATGAGGTGCTACATCTGTACGGCAACACTGAAAGTACAATACATAACTCAAAGCACTGTAATTACCATTTTTACCCACTAGGTGTCCTTTTGACCTAAACAACAGGGCAACACAAACAGATTTATTTTTGTTCTGTTGTCTGATACAAGCAATGATTAATCTACAGTTTACAATGATTTTAACAAATACTGCACATACATCCGTTAAATTAAACAAAGCAGGCACAGAAACACATTGATATACTGTCACTCAGAACTCGAAGGAGTATCCGGCCCTTTTCTGTCTTAGGTGCCTTACAAATAATGGACGTCCACTCTCGGGAGCGTCGGAGTGGTGCGGTCACCCTAAGTGACAGACCTAAAGTATCCGGGATTCAGGCACCTTCCCTGGCTTGTACATTTTTGGTGATGCGCCCTGGAGGTATCAGACTATTTTAAACAACTTTTCCCCGCCTTTCAAACACTTATTCCGGGGTTTTAGTCAGTCATTTTGCACGATATCATTTAACATTGAGGCTCTCCTGAAAATGCACATATTCTGTGCATTTTCAGGAGAGCGTCAATGTTAAATGATATCGTGCAAAATGACTGGCTAAAACTCTCTTCCATACATTTAAAAATACTTTCCCCGACCATTTAAACATTATTTCTGGCTTGTAAAGTGCAGTTATGCGCCCTGGAGGTATTACACTTTCTCCTGGGTCAATGTGTTCTATTTCACCCCCCCTGGGTGTGTGTGAGACAAGTGAACTGAGTCAGCCTGCCAACAAGCAGCACTCTGCTGTCATTTGAACCATGTTCCCCCACTGTTCAACACACCTTTACCCACGTTTTGAGCACTACTTCCTGGGTCAATGTGTCCTCTTTCACCCCCCCTGGGTGTGTGTGAGACAAGTGAAGTGAGTCAGCCTGCCAACAAGCAGCACTCTGCTGTCATTTGAACCATGTTCCCCCACTTTTCAACACACTTTTTACCCATGTTATGCGCCCTGGAGGTATCAGACTATTTTAAACAACATTTCCCCGCCTTTCAAACACTTATTCCGGGGTTTTAGTCAGTCATTTTGCACGATATCATTTAACATTGAGGCTCTCCTGAAAATGTACATATTCTGTGCATTTTCAGGAGAGCGTCTATGTTAAATGATATCGTGCAAAATGACTGGCTAAAACTCTCTTCCAGACATTTAAAAATACTTTCCCCGACCATTTAAACATTATTTCTGGCTTGTAAAGTGCAGTTATGCGCCCTGGAGGTATTATACTATTTCAAACAACTTTTCCCCGCCTTTCAAACACTTATTCCTGGGTACACGTGTTCTCTTTTCCCCCCTGGGTGTGTGTGAGACAAGTGAACTGCGTCAGCCTGCCAACAAGCAGCAGTCTGCTGTCATTTGAAACATGTTCACCCACTTTTCAACACACTTTTACCCACGTTTTGAGCACTATTTCCTGGGTTGAAAAGACATGTGCTGTAGCCTGGTTCTCTCCCAGTACTGGGTACTAGTTAATGCCACTATCACCACCACATTTAAACCAGATGAACTGGTAGTTATCCGGGGTGCTGCAGAGTCATTTTCAGGCTCCTCTCCACAATTGTCCCCCTAAAATGATTTTAAATCATTATTATTGCATTTAAATGCATTTATTCTATCATTTATATGGTTCCCCAACACAATGCACATAGTCTGGAGCTCACTGGAGCCCTGCATATAATTTAATCAGGCGTTTTAACACTTTTTCCCATGAAAATGATTTTTAATCACTATCATGGGGCTATGAAAATCAAATTCCGGGTAATGCAGAGCACAATTGCACCTTTTACTATTTAAATGTATTTGTATTATATATTTTTGGGCTAGAAAGATGACCTGTCTGGGTGATTTAGTCAGTTTATGGAGCTTAGCCCACAAATCCTGGATGATCCAGGCCAAATTTGGGTGCTCATAGGCGGCCTGCCAGGCGCCCCCACCCGTGGAAAGCAAAAGAAAGTGAAGAAAACGGTTAATTATATCTTAAAATAATCAAAAATGAAGTTTTGAAAAATTGTCAAAAAAATGACAGAGTGCCAACAGGAGAAGGGGCCAACTGTTTGGCGCTTCGGGCCGTTTTTTCCCCTTCTCCGATGGTTGGTGCAACGGAGAAGGGGAAAGGTCCCTGGGCTTCATTTCCCCTTCCCTGTGAAAAAGATTCATCCATACTTTTCAGACTACCGTCTGCACGAAATCGGAAACCCAGTTTTTGGCAGTTTTTGGCACTCAGAAAAAAAACGGCTGTTGCAAATCTTGGAAGAATGTATCCGATGAGAGTGCACTTTGGGTCGGATGAATTTGATGCCTTGAGACCCCCCAGCCTGGTTCTCCAAATACTTTAAGTTCGACATGGAGGAATGCAAGGGCACTTTGCAGGTGACTCTACCCGATTTTGATGCACTATTTTGGGTCACATTTTTTACATTTTCACCCTATTCCCTGGTTCTCCAAATACTTTAAGTTCGACATTTTGACCCATGGAGGAATGCAAGGGCACTTTGCAGGGGACTCTACCCGAATTTGAAGCACTATTTTGGGACACAATTTTTTCATTTTGACCCCTTTTGCCTGGTTCTCACAAAATTTGAGTTTGATTATTGTGACCCTGGAGGAATGCAAGGGCAGTCGACAGGGGACTCTACCCGCATTTGAGGCACTATTTTGGGACACAATTTTTTCATTTTGACCCCTTTTGCCTGGTTCTCACAAAAGTTGAGTTTGATTATTGTGACCCTGGAGGAATGCAAGGGCAGTCGACAGGGGACTCTACCCGCATTTGAGGCACTATTTTGGGATACATTTTCTCAATTTAAACACGGACTGGTGATGGCTTGGACCCTTCTAGTGACCCTGGAGGAAAGCCAGGGGAGTCGACAGGGGACTCCTGCGGGGTCATGAGGCACTATTTCCGGGTACTTTTTTTCATTTTCACCCAAATTTCCCTGGATGAAATATATATATTTTTTTTTTGTTTTTAGCCCAGTTTTGGCCACAGCGTTGCCTGGAGGATAGGACCGAGATATGACAGACTCTCTGGCCGCCTCACAAGTCACTATTGTCGGACACTTTCTTTGCTTTACCCCGGTTCTATCACTCTTTCCTCTTTTGACCATACAACCCCTTTCCTGCTGGGGTGGTGCCTGGTTCCGGGGCACCCCAAACCCTCTCATGATCGGGGCACCATGTATTGATGCATCGGACCCAATGTTGCCATCACCAGCCCCGCGTTGGTGCGGAGGTGGGACCATCTGACCCGGTGGTAACCCAAGCCCTCCCTTGGTCTGTGCACCATGAATTGATGCATCGGACCCAATGTTGCCATCACCAGCCCCGCGTTGGTGCGGAGGTGGGACCATCTGACCCGGTGGTAACCCAATACCTCCCTTGGTCCATGCACCATGAATTGATGCATCGGACCCAGTGTCGCAACCACCGATCACGCTAACGCATATAAACGGAGAACTATAACATCATTTTGATCAAATTCATTGTGTGTGTTTCAGTAAGGATGTAATCTGAATGCCCGGTGTGCAGACTCTTCTATCTGGCATTGTACAAACACCTTAAGCACAAGCATGCTGTGCGGAACTTGGAGGAGAGGGGAATCCTCCTGAAAATAGCCAGTGGAAGGATAAATGTTCGGACCAAACCCTGTCCCATCGCTGGGTGTTCGTACGCTGGGAAGAGACTGGACCGTCATGTAAAACATGACCACCCTGAGTTGTCCCGACATGAGGCACATCAGGTCATGGCAAGGCTGAAGCATAGTGTGGCACTGCAGTTGCTCCATGACCTCCGTGAGACTAACCCCATCATTGGAATGGCTACATCATTGGATATAGACAATGAGGAGGAATACCCCGGGCACCCTCCACCCTTCTCCCCACATACCGAGTGTGACAACGAGGACTGCAGGCAGGTGATGCTGGAAAATGTGGCATTGAGGGCTCAGAAGGATGCCCTCAATGATGAGGTGAAGACCCTGCGCTCCAGGCTGAAAAAGGAACTAAAACCCTGGAAGCAGAGTGCTGCTGTGCTTGCGGAAGAGGACGAATGTATACGATTTAAGGGCCTGGCAATCCCAAGTACCTCCGGCATAAACACAGTAGCCTCAGGCAGCAATACCCCTGTGAAGAGCCCGGTGAAGACTGTCATGCTTGCAGTAGCCTCCGGTAGCGAGACCCCTGTGAAGAGCCCGGTGAAGACTGTCATGCAGTCCC